TTCATATAGACCAGGGGTTTTTGACCTTTTTAGTTTCGTGGGCCCTTTTGGGTGTCTGGTAAAGCCTATTGACTCCTCAGAATAATGTTTCTAAATGTATAAACAAAATGGATTAGGATTATAAAGGAAAACAATTATATTTAAATAGTTATAAAATATTTTAAAAACCAAGTTCATGGGCCCCAGATTGAGAACTCCTGATTTAGAAGGTAGTGCTCGACTTTTCCCCTGCATGGACTGCCATACTTTTTCCACACATCTACCTCTTGGTTTCCTTCAAGACTCAATTCAAACGTCAAGAAATTTTTTGAAGCCTTTGCAATCTTCTAGTTGTTAATATATTCCCTCCCCAAACTACTTTCTATTTATTTTTATATATCATATGTATACTTGTATATGTGTCTAATCCCTTAGAATGTAAACTCCTTGAGGTCAGACAATATTGTATTTTTGTCTGTTTTCCCAGTGCTTAGCCCAGAACTTGGCATATATAGTAGGTGCTTAATAAATGGTTCTTGATTAACTGATTGATTAAAGGAAATAGAGGATATAAGGCTTCCTCAAAGCAGAGGTAAAAAGGGTATGGGTTTTCTGTATGGGGGACAACCTACACAATTGCATAGAGATGGGAGATCGTGCATGAGGAATAGCAATAACCAGTTTTGGCTGAACCATAGAGTTCATGAAAGGAAGTAATATATAATAAGGCTGGAGAGTTATGTTGAAGCCAGGTTATAAAAGGCTTTAAGTGACTTAATAGGAATTTGTATTTGTGTTTAGAGGTAATAGAGTGCTGCTAGAATTTATTTTGCTAAGTGGCGTGGGTAGATTTGTGTTTTAGAAAAATCCCTTTAGCAGTGTCATGGAGGATGAACTGGAGAGGGAAGAGAATTGAGAGAGGGAGATCAGACGTGGCTGTTGCAATAATGGGGGCGAAAATTCTCCAATTTTCAAAGGATGTGAATAGGCAGTTTTCAAAAGCAGAAATTAAGCTTTTAAATAACCATGTTAAAAATGCTTTAAGTCACTAATAATTAGAGAAATCTGTATTATAACAATTTTGAGGTTCTAGTTCACAACCATCAGATTGGCTAAGTTGACAAAAAGGAAAATGACAAATACTAGAGAGGCTATGGGAAAGTAGGTACAGTAATGCCTTCTTGGTGGAGCTGTCAACTAGCCATTCTGGAAAGCAACTTAAAACTCTGCTCAAAAAGTTACTAAGCTATATAACACCTTTTAACCAGAGTACCACTATTGGCTCTATATACCATGGAGACCAGGGAAAGAGGAAGAGGACCTTTATGTGCAAAAGTATTTGTAGCAGTTCTTTTTGTAGTGTCAAAGATTTGGAAACTGAGGAGGTGACCAGCAGTTGGGGAATTTCTGAACAAGTTATGGTATATGTATGTGATGGAATACTATTGTGTTATAATAAATTACCAAGGATACAGTTTCAGAGAAACATCAAAAGACTTGTATGAAAGAATGTAGAGGGAAGTGAGCAGAACTAGGAGAAAAATTTACACAGTAGCACCAATATTGCAAAGATAGATAACTTTGAAAGACTTAGGAACTCTAATCAACACAGTGACCAACCACAGTTCTAAAGAACTCAAGATAAAACATCCTACCCACCTTCTAATAGAGAGGTGATAGACTCAGAGTATAGATTAAAACTTTTTTTTTTTTAGATAGCCAATGCAGAAATTTTTTTTGTTTAACTATATATGTTTGCAACAGAGGTTTTGTTTTTCTTGCTTACGAAATTGAGGAGTGGGGTGGGAGAGAGAGAATGTGGATCTGAAAATAAAATTAATTAAATTTTAATAAATAAAAAAACTAATAATCTAGGCAAGAGGTGATAAGGATGTTAATGAGGGTGTTAGCCATATGAGTAAAGGAAAAGGTATAGACATGAGATGTTGGTTGGGGAAAGTAAAAATGAGGAGTCCAGGGATGACACTAAAGTTTTAGGCCTGGGTGACTGGGGATGATGTGTCCTTAACACTAATAGGAATGTTGCAAAGATGGGAAAAGGTTTTTGGGAAAAGAGGAGTGATTTTCCAAGTGAGGAAACCAAAGCTGTAGGAAGTGAAGTGATTTGTCCAAGGTTATATCAAGGATGGGATTTGAACATAAGTCCTCTGACTGTAGAGTCAGTTCTTTTTCTGTTGTATTACATTGCCTCCCTTGGGGTTTGGTCACAAAAGGGAGGAGAGATAGAGGATCTTTTTGTCAGGTGGGGAAGACCTATACATGTTGGGAGGCAGCATAGAAGAATCCAGTAAATTGGGAGGGATTGAAGATTTGAGTGGTAGGTAAAGGGAGAAGGAGAATGAAGGGCAATCTCTCCTTTTCCAGAGGAATTTTCCTCTCTCCTGTATTGTGATTTCCCCTTTCTCAATTATTATTTTGTTTGTTTTTTTAATTTTAAATTTGATAATTGTATATGTACAGGGTTTGGTCTTGGTAAAGAGATTGACTCAGGTTTATCCCTTTATTGTTAAGTTTTATATTGAGATTCCAGTTAACAAAAGGAGTTTTACTTAGTCATGACAGAGAAAAATACTCAGCAAGGACACTGAGTTGATTCAGCAGTGTTAGAGTATCTTCCATCTCTGTGGTCCATCATGGACCTCCAGGCAAGCAGCAGAGATGAGCTAAAAGCTTCCTCTGCTCAGTTGCCTAGGAAGTTATGTCAGTGGCTGAAGCCTGTATTCCCATGAGCCAATTGTGTCTCAAGGATGGTTTCAGTACCCTTTCAGGGTACCAATATCACCCTATAAAGGGGGGACTCAGCTATTCCTTCCCACCTGGAGGCAGGAGGATGGAGATGTAAATTAAGGGAGAAGAGAGACTTTACAGCAAATGACCTTTATTTTCTGAGTAAAGTATGAAGTAATGTCTTTGCTGAGAGTGAGAGGCAGAGATTGTCTTCCTAGACCAGGAGGCTTGAGAAGAGAAAATTGTATATAGCTGCTCTGGAGAGTACAATAGATAATCAGTTAGGGAGGATTAAAAGAATTTGTTTGCTGCAATAAGGGTCCAGTTGAGATTAGATAAGTTAAATTCTTAATGGACTCAGTCATCAAAGTTGCATGACTTCTCCAGAACATACAGCTATGTTATGTAGCATATAAATAGGAGCAAAAAGCAAGTGGATGGTTGAAGTGATCCAGACGTGGCTTTTAACACTGCATGAGCAGCAACAGGACAAAGGAGCAATAGTTTAATGTTGCAGTGATGAACTATAGGGTTGAAATTGAGAAGGAAGAAAAGCAAAATCAGAGAAGTTGTTTAGTTATTGGAAAATGTAGATTCGGAGAGGTGAATTCAGGAGAGTTAGATTTGTGAGTTATCCTCATCTTGATAATTGAAGCTGTGGAAGTGAATAAGATTCTCATTACTAATATTGTCCTATATATTTTTTTCTGCCTTATCTTTGACAAGTGTGAGAACTATAAACACAGAAGACTTTTATAAAGAATTGTGGAGAGTGGCATCTTTCTGTTTTTGAAAAGAATTTGCACAATATGACAGTTACATATTTTAAAAATATTTGGTAGAATTTCTATGTGAATTTACCTGGTCACATAGCAACTCCTACCTGAGATTGATTTATTTAAGCTTTTAATTTTCTGTTGTATCAATTTGGATATTTGTTATTTTTATAAATATCCATTTCTTTTATATTTTAAATTAATATTTTTGACATACAGTTATATGAAAGTCTCATATATTTATATTTATCCTTTCTGTATTTGTAATACTTTCTCCTCTATCAATTATTTTAATTTTTTCTTAAATCAAATTTGCTAATTATTTCTAAATTTTATTAGTTTAAAGGAATCCTTTTTATTATTATATTTTTAATTTTATTTGCTGTTTTATTAATTTCTCACAATTTTATTTGTGTATTCATTTGATGTGTTAATTCATTAATTCTCCAATTTAAGTACCAAATAACCCAAATGATTGTTTTTTTCTTTTTATCTTATGCTTAATTGTGTGTTCTTTTGATGTATTAATTCATTAATTCTCTAATTTATTTAACTACAAAATAATTCAAGTTATTGCTTTTTTCTTTTTATCTCATGTTTGAAAAACTATATGTGGAGTTGTATAAAGAACTTAGCACCAAAGACTTGTATCTGGAGTCAGATCACATGAGTTTATCCCTCATCTGGTACATAGTAGCTCTGAGGCCTTGGATAAGTCATTTAAGTGCTCTGGAAAATCTGGTCTTTGGGAGTTAAGGAAGTGATGATTTAATATTTTTTTAATGTGTCTAGTAATATTGACTGGGGACTTTTTAAAAACCAAATTATGTGGCACTTGGCTTTTTAAGTGATTAAGTTAAAACAAATCTTTGCTCTATTTGGCAATTAAAAGTTGTATGGGGGACCTCTTAGTTTCCCAAACCTTCTAACTTTCCTTCAGCTAGTAGTTTATTTAAGTGTGGTGCATAGGTAACATAGGGCAGCTAGGTAGTGCAGTGAATAGAATGCCAGGCCTGGAGTCTGGAAGACTTATCTTGCTGAATTCAAATCTAGCCTCAGACACTTACTAGGTTTGTGACCCTGGGCAAGTCACTTAACCCTGTTTGCCTCAGTTTCCTCATCTGTAAAATGAGCTGGAGAAGGAAATGGCAAACCACCCCAGTGTCTTTGCCAAGAAATCCTTAAATGGGATCATGAAGAGTCAAAACTGAAACGACTGGACAACAATAACAAATAATAATATAAGACATATTTCATTTTCAAATACAGTTTCAATGTTTATCCTTTTGGTACATATTCCTGTAACCTATTCCTTTAGCTATTTGAGGTCCATCCCAGGACTTCTCAACTTTTTTCTTTAAGAGTTACACCAGTGCAGATTGATAAGACTTTTTCATTGACAAAATTCACAGGTCAGCAAATTCATAGATCAGCAATTTCAACAAATATAAGCTATATAATATTTTGTGAATTAATTATTCTACTTTTCTTTTTCAGACAAGCCAAATTAGATCTCAGAGTTGCTACAGCAAAAGTGGAAGAAATGACCAAATTAGTCGAAGATCTTCAAGGACAGATGCAAAAGAAGGTATTCAGATATTTCTAAGTTAAGAATTTGTATGCATATCATCAACCTTCTTGTTTATAAGATAATTTTCATTTGAAGTTTAGACCTCCAAAGATTGAGAGGAGAGTTAGAAGTTATGTCAGTCATTTTTTTAATCAAAATATTAGTGAAATGAAAATAATGTGAAACTTTCTCAAAAATTTGGAGAGATTTAAAGAAAGAATTAAATTTAGGTTCAGTCCACCTAATCAATGAGATAGGATAATTTCCCCATAGCATATAACCTTCTAAAGCACGTTATTATAAGATGATTTTTCCCCATCTGTTGAAAAGTTTAGTAGAAAAAGTAGATTTGTATGTGACAGGGTGTTTTACTACTTAAATTTTTTTTTAAATTTCTGCTTTATTATATGGAAGTCTTCATTGCAAAATGAAATATCAGCTTTCCAAATAATTTTAACTGATACTTTTAACTGATTTTTCCCCAAATCCTCCTACATTTATCATTTTGTTTAGTTGTCTAAACAAGTTTCAGATAATTTTAAGTTTAATTATTTTGTTAAACTGTTAATAACACTAATTTGTTTGTGGGAGAATCAGCATAAAATGGGGGAGATGTTGAGATTGCCTGTCAAGCACTAGCCTAGCTCCTTAAAAGATACCATTACTTCTCTACTTTGTAGAGAAGTTAGAATCAGTGTAGCAAATATGTAACAAATAACATCTATATAAAATGACATATTTGTTCTATGCAAAATAAAATGTTTGTATTTAGCTTGTCATTTTTTAAAAATAGTGCAGCAATTTTATTTTAAAATAACTTCACTACCTTCTTAAGTCCCAGGAAATATACTTAACACCTACTTTGCTTTTTTATTTGCCATTTGGAAAATGCTAATGTAGTTTAAAATTAGCATGATTTTTATTGGTCATTTCCTTGTGCTTTTGCCAATATTCAAGCATTAAAATTCAGGGTAGTGTGTTGGATTTCTTCAATTTGTTTTATAGAAGTAGCCTAAAGAATTTATCTAAATTTGTTAATAGTGGATAATTTGTAGTGTTTTTGGTTTTTTTTTGTAAATATGGGATGTGTTTGTTACCTAATTATATGACAAGTATAATTTGAGAAGTATTACACCAATATGATTTTATTCCTTCAATCTGTCATAGTAGTATCACAGTAAATTTAAAACTTTGAATCTATGCTATGTAGTAAAGTATTGAGTTTTATGGGACTTTTGAAATAAATATTCTAATTTCTTTGGTTTAAAGGTAGAAGATATGGAATCTGCCCAAGGAAGAGAGGAAGCATCAGACAGGCGGTTACACCAGTTACAATCTAGTATAAAACAGCTAGAAACAAGGTAGGTTTCTAAAAATCATAATTAAATATGATGTGATTTTCAGTATATCTTCCCACCTAGCTTTATTACTTTTGAGATTGTTTCTACTGCATGCATTATTTTAAAATTTTTATTAATATCTTTTGCTTTTTCATTTTCTTAATCTATGAATATTCCATCTGTCCCCTTCCTTCACCAGGCAATCGTATCTTGTAAAAGAGGGGAAAAAGCAGGTCAACAACACTAAACTATGTCAACTAAATATCAAAAGTGTATGTGATATTCCATTGCTCCCACCTCTCCAAAGGGAAGGAGATACGTTTTCTCATCTGTTCTTCACAGCCCAAATTCTCCTTCCCTTCTGTTCCTACCTCCTCTTTCCTCTCTCCTCACCTCTTACCTCACCTCACCCTTCAAAGGAAGTATGGAAATGTAAGATAGTATCCTCCCAGATCTCAGCTAAGCACCCTTGGGACTAGGAAAAGCTCCCCTGTCACTGATATAGCTAATTAGAGATAATTTTTTTTTTTTACTCTCTTTTACTTTGGTGAACATTTTATGAGCTATTAAAAAAATCCTAAAATGCCTATTCTTTATATCACTTGCAATCTCAGTATCTCCACTGCAAGTCTTCCTTTAATCAGGGTTAAAATTTAGTCATCACATTTCTTTCAAGTATGAATTTCTACATAAAAAATTTGAATTTCATATAATGAGATGAAAAGTCATGTAATATAATGAAAAATTACAAATTTGAGTTTGTTTAGCCTAAATTGAGCTCTCACTATATATTGCTTGAGAACCCTTTTATTCATGTCTGATTGACATATTAAACTATTCACAGAAGCTATTCCAAAGATGCTTCTCTGTCTTCAAGGTCCCAAAGACACTTCAGTAGATGACCTCATGTCCTATTTTGCTGAGACATCAAAGCCATCTGTTGTGCTTTCTCCTGTCTCACTTACTCCATGCCTCAAAACTTCTGTGTGTTTACCATTTTCATTTCCAGTGCCCAAGTGGCCACTTGATGATGGAGTGTTCCATCATAATCAAACAAGGCTAACTCCTCTACTTGAGCCCTTGTTTCAGACTCCTAATTGGCTTCTTTGGAGTTTTTCCCATTGGTCATTTCCTTTCTTTTTTTCTCTTATTTTTCAATTTCTTCCTATAGTCTAGTTCCTTTCCTGATGCCTATAATTATGCTCAAGCAAGAAAGAAGAAAATCAGATCATTATAGAAGGGAATAATAGACAATTGAGTAAATGTAGAAAAGTGAGTTTTGACTAGGTCTTCCTTCTTCTCAATCTAGATAGTAAAGATTCAGGTCATTTTTCTTAGCCTAAAGGGTAAAAAAAAAAAAGACAAATTTTGCCTTTGTCTTTGCTATTTAAAAAAGAGAATAAAAGAAGATAGAGTAGAAATTTTGTGAGACCAACATAGAGGGGGGTGTATGTTCCTAAAAATGACATTGTCATGGAGTTTTTAAAGGAGTGATTATTTTAATTTGCACATTTGAAGGTGTAGACTTATTTTTCATGTGTTTTGCAATTGTGTATTTATGAAACTAATATAATTTAACATAAAAGTTTTTTTTTCACTGAATATTTATTTTCTAGAGAGAAGTCAGTTCTGTTAGCAAGCTTGGACATTTTCAATGCCATGTTACGCTATATTAAGGGGAGATAATCATAACTTGTGCAAGACTTATAAAAATCTTCTATATGATATACATTTTGTGCTAAAATAAAATTCTAAAGATGATCTACTAATAATATTAGCTAGCATTTATATAGCACTTTAAATTTGCAAAACGTTTTTACCAGTATCTCATTTAGTTCTCACAGCAATGTTGAGAGAGAGATTTTACAGATGAGGGAACTAAGGAAGACAGAGGTTAATAATAGTTAACATAATAATAGCTAACATTTACAGAGTTAAGATTTATATATGTGACAAGCACTGTGCTAAGTGCTTTACAATTATTATTATTATTGTTTGATCCTCACAGCTATCCTAGGAGGTAGGTACTATTATTTTCCCCGTTTTACAGATGAGGAAATTGAAGCAAATTGAAGTTAAGTAATTTGCCCAAGGTTATACAGCTAATTAGTGTCCAATTCTGGAACTGAACTTAAGTCTGACTGATTTCAAGTTCAGAGTTCCATCCACTGTGCCACCAAGTTGTGTCTTCAGGGGATCTGTGTAACTTTGATTGTCGAGGTCTCAAGTTTTAACTAGATCTATTGCTGATTTGTTTCCTTTTCTTTAGTAGACTACTCAAATTCTTTTTGTTTCTGGCATCTATTTTATAAAATGCTAATTAAAGTAATTTTCCTGTATACATGTTGAGGGCTTATTGATTTGCATGCAACACATTGAAAATCCAAAAGAATTTTGTAATTACAAAATGTTGATGCTACTGTAATTTTCTTCCATTCTAAAGATTAGCACCATTTGGTTTATTTATCTATTTTCCTATCTATATCTATTTTTCTAAATATCTATTTCCTAAATATTATCTATTTTCTCCTAAAATCTTTTGAATTAAACTGAAAGAGAAAAACCCTGAGAATATTTTCGTATATGTTTCTGTACTAAGAATGAATTTTAACTGCCAGAAATTCATAGTCAAATCATAATAAGTGAATTCCATTGCTTTTTTGTTATAATAGCAATAACTCTCAACATACTTCTTGCTTATTCCTAGAATACATAATTTATGCCACTATTTCATTGTTTAGAGCCTTCTTTCTTAAATTTCAAAGTCATAATATAGCCTGAATTCTCCTAAGAAGGCACAGAGTGCATATACTTACATCAAAGATAAAATGATTAAAGAAAGTCCAGTTGTCAGCACTCTTCTCAGAAGAAATGTTTAAGTGAACACTGACTGAGATCATATTAAAATTAATGATCAAGAAATCTCTCCATATGTTTAATACAGTAGTGGAGGCAGAGTTGACAATATATATGCCATATAATTACCCCTAATTTGTCTAACCTATAGTTTTAGTTGTTATGGCTAAACATTATTGGAATCAGTTCTTTGATTTTTTGACTATGAAAAAGTTACATCTTGAAAATCATCTTTTGTCCAGAAAGGGACATAAGTATGTTTTACTTGTCTTTATTTTTTTTTTTTTTTGGTGAATCCATATCAATTGGTCAGCCTTTTTGATCTCTTTTAATCATTTACATATGTTTCATAGAATGAGCTCTTGGAACTCATCTATTTTAATTCCCTCCTGTTTTAAATGAGAAAACTATGACCCACTAAGGTAGGATGACTTTCTCATTTTCATATAGTTAATTGGTGATGAAGAAAAACATCCTTATTCATTCCATTATGCCAGACATGTTTGTGTACCTTGGACTTTATTGCATCTTTGCCAAAAAACTTAAATTAATTTTATGACTCCTATGCAAGAATAGTTTTATTGTAGTCTAGGTTAGTTTATATACTTTTCAAGAAGAATATGGAAAAATTTGTACCCTGATTAGCAAGGGATAGGAGTTAAATTAGTAAAGTTAGTGCTTTTACAATTTAATTTTATATTTCCTATAGACAGATTAGGAAAAAATGACTTCCTGGTTGAATATGATTCCCAGGTTTTTTTTTAGCATTGTTGTGCCCCGTTATGGTACACTTGTGATCAATTCAATAAATGTTTAATGAGTTCCTGTTATGTTGAGTACTGTGGGGATACTGGATGAGAGGTAAAGTTTAGATAAGAAAACAGTCCCTATCTTCATGAAGATATTGTAAATAATATATACTCAGTTTTGTAATACATTTATTTGTTGGGTGAACATAGGATCAGCAATTAATAAGCAAGTATTTGTCAAGGGCTTACAATGTGTCAGGCATTGAGCTGGGCACTGGGAATAAAAATATGAGTGAATCAATCAATATTTGACAATTAGCTTATATCATTTTAACTGACAAGATTTATAACCTTGGGATTATCCTCACTCTCTCCTCTTTCATACCACCTCTTCAGTCAGTGCCAAATCTTGCCATTTCCATATTTACATCTCTCACATGCTACTCTTCTTCATAAACACAACTACCACTTTAATTCAGGGCTGCATCACCTCTTCCCTAGATAGTTGCAACAGTGCCTCCTCATTCAGCTCCCTGCCTCAGTTTCTTCTCCTTCTAATCCTTTCTAACACTAAACCAAATAAGTTTCCTTAAGTGCAGATATGACCACGTGGTTTTCCCACTGATTCAACTCCAGTGGCTTTTTATTGTCTCTGCAATAAAACATAAACTCCTCATTTTAGCTTTTACAGTCATTCACAACCTGAATCCATCCTATCTTTCCAGCCTTGTTGAATATTAATCCTTTTCCTACACTCTGCAGTCTAGCCAAACTGGCATTCTCTCTGTTCCTGGCATTCCATATCCCATCTCCATATCTTACACTGGCCATTCTCCATGCCTAGGAGGGACTCTCTTCCTACTTCTACTTCATAGAGTTCCTCTTTTCCTTTAATCCACAACTCAAGCACTAGGCTTTAGCCTTTCCTAATCCCTCCAATTCCCTTCTTCCCAAATTACTTTTTATTTAAGAAATATGTAATATCAACTATATGTGTGTGTATGTATATATGTGTTCATGTACACACATATACATATATGTATCTATTCTCTCCCCCATTAGAATATAAGATCTTGATAAATAGAGATTATTTGATTCTTTCTACTTATTCCTGGTACCTTGCACATTTTAATAAGATTTTATATATGAATATTATAATTGATAATTATTAATGATTGATTTCTAGCAGGAGAGACAACATATGCATATATAAGGGGAAGGAAAAAGGAAAAAAACATTTAGATAGTGCCTGCCATGTTCCAAGCACTGTTCTAAGTTCTTTTTTTTTGCTTTTTGGTGAGGTAATCAGGGTTAAGTGATTTACCCAAGGTCACACAGTTACTAAGTGTCATGTGTCTGAGGCTGGATTTGAACTCAAGTCCTCCTGACTCCAAGGTCAGAACTCTGTCTACTGCG